TGGCCTACCGCCGCCTATCGTCACGGTCTCGCTTCCACCTGACAAGTTGTGTCTCCCCCTCTCCCTTCTTTTCTCTCCTGTACCGACAACGGCACAGAGATATCGTCTGAACAAGGAGGCACTCCCCCCCTTGCCTTGCCCTAACCCGTACAGCGCGCCACCCTCATGCTAGACATTTTCATATCGCGCTGCACTCTGCTGTGCAGGACTCTCCACGTCCGGAGCGACCATCCGCCCCGGACCTATACTTCAAACTCGGACATCTCGGAAGAGGTTATCTCTCCCGAGCTTTCTGCCTCGCGGCCGCCCCCTGCCGTGTCATCTCGGCTCGCGAAACAGATGCTACACACTCGATGAAAAGCCGCCTTGCTGAGGACGTCTCCTCGAAACACTTCAAATCTTCTGTACTCTATGCCCGGCCTTTGATGGCACCGCCCGAATTGATGCAAGGTCCTGGTCTTAGACCTACCCCTGAACGAAACGATCGGCGTGCCCAAGACCAGGCCCTCCACTGCAGGCAAGCGTTCACCGGCTTTCTCGCCCACCTGCTCCTGCTGCTCGCCGGCCGATTGCTCCGGCCCGGTCACCCCCGACGTCTCGGCGCCCGGCTCCACTAACACCGCCTGCCCCTCGTCTGTCCAAGCGACCTGACAGGGCTGCGGTCCGCCGGTGCCAGCAGGCATAAAAGTGGTCAGCCTGTATTCATACTTCTTGCACGCTTCTGCATCGAAACCCCGATCTCGCATCCGCCCTATTGCCCGACGGATTGCTGCGTGCTCCCAAAACGAATCCTCGCTGCCCGGGTTCTCCTTGACGTAGATCGCGAGCAGTTGCTGGATCCGTCGCATCCTGGCCCCCCTCTCGGGGTCTGCCAATTCTGCCACGCTGCACTTCTCATCGGCCATGGTCGAAACCACGTCCGCTGGCCACTTCATTGCGGCCAGCAACAGCCTCATGGTGTTTGCCTCGCAGTCCTCCGACCAAACTGCCCCGATTCCCTTTGGGACCAAGGCTGCCTTCTTGCCATCCTGCCAAGTCCATGCCATGCGAAGCAGCCCCTGATGAATCGCCGAGGCCGCAATCATGCTGAGTGGCTTCTTGCCAAAACACTGCCCATCCTCCGAAGGCCAAGGCATCATATAGTCTCGATCGGTAGTACCCGACTTCTGCCCCAGCTCACACCAATGCTTCCACCCAGTGCTCAACCAGCTTTGACATTTGAACCAGGCCTCCAATGAAACATATATAGAATGTCCTTCGCAGCTCGGGCGCACCATTTGAGACAGGCGCAAACTGCCTCACTTCACCGCACAAGCCAGACTCCGTCATCGCCATCTTTCCGGCAGGCACCTGAAGATGCTGCGCTTCCCAGCCCAGGGCAGCCCAGAAGCGCACCAGGCGATGCCATGCCGAAACTCGGGCGTAGCACGCCACCTATTCCGAAGGCACCGAGCTGGCTCCCAACCAGCAGACCCTCCTGCTTCCACCCGCTGCTTTGCCTCGCTCATGCAGTCCTGGACCTCCACGGACCGGCTCAGCCGCTGCTCTTCTGTCGCGCCAGCCAGTTCTTCCATGAAGCAAAGGGTCCTCATCACCCTGTCCAGTTGCACTGTGGCGGTCGCCCCTTCTGCAACTGCTCACAGGTAGTCCACTACCTGTGCAGGAGACTGAGGCCACCGCACACGGTGAGCTTGCTCAAGCCACCAAGCAAGCCTTCTCCATACCTTCACATGCTTTCTCACCCGTCTCGAAGAAACCCCCACCAAGGCACCCTCCGTCTTCCGAACGTCTAAGTGGGAGCATCCCGACTCTTGCAGCAAGGCATGCAATGCCTCGCACCAACGTCGTGACTCTGCGTCCCTGACCGCAGCCTCCTTGTCTTGCTCACCATCTGCGTCTCGGAGCTCCCGCTCCAGACGTGTCTGCCAGCGAATCCTCTTCGCCCAGCCCACCGTCATGGCGGTGATCTCTTCTCCCGACTCGGCTGCTGTAAGCCGCCTCTTCTTTCGACCACCCGCCGACGGAGCTGGCCCCACGACATCCCAATGCCGTGGGTTTTGCCGGGCTTCCAACAGGTGAACCTGCTTTGCCGCTACGTCCGCACGCTCGACGAGGTCGAAGAGGTTCTCGAGGTTCGCAGCGAACCTGCCTTCCAGCTCCCGCGCCGAAACCAGCAGGCGCTTCACTAGCCCGGGAGGCTGTCCGTGCAGTGTTGCGAGCCGGGTGACACTCCAGCCCAGACGGACAAGCGTGGTCCTGTCAAAGTCCGTCAACCCGGCTTCCACACAGCATTTGGACAGCCCCCCATCGCCCTCCATGGCTCGAGGCGTCCTACGCTGGTTCCCCCTCAAGTCCAAAGAGGGAATTTGGGCCCTAAACTACCGGTCGTTTCCGTTTCGTGACAAACAACGGTCTTCGACCGATTAGTCATATCTTGATTGATTGCTCGAAATGTCTGCACAGAGACAGCCGCTGGAGGGAATGTTTATGTATGTTCATGTCAGTAGTGATTAGAACAAAGAATAGGAAGACGAAAACCGACACCAGTTAGCTTTCAATCATCCAGGGTCCCTGACTCGAATCCTTCCTTCGGTGTAGTAAATGACAGTACACTCCAGCACCAATGCTCCGACCACGTGGTACCTCGATGGTTGATAGAAACACTTCCAAAAGTTGTTGAAAAGAATGTGAGCTGTTCGAACTCTTTGTTGGGACAATCAGCACTCTAAACCCGGCTAGACACCAAGCGCTCCAACATTGATTAAGCACGGCACATCTCCATCTTTGCCACTGTGAGTTCCACTAAATCTCGGATATCCTGCATGCTGCTGGCATCTTTGGAACATAAGTATTCCTTATCAGGGTGTGAAACTATCTTTTTCAGGGCGATACTATTACTAGGTCCATTCATAATCACCCTTATAGGATGATGTGCCATGTATATTGCAACCCACCCACTTTGGCCTCTCTAAAGAGCTGGAAGCGCTTGATCTGCATCTCCAATCGAAGCCTTGCCAAAATCGAGCGATTGGGCAGTTCAAATCCTGGAACTTCCAACTGTGAAGATTTGTCTCGCATTGAATCTCAATGTCAAAATGGACATCCATGGCATCTATCTGAGATCCTTGCAGTTCTCTGTCCAGCCGTTGCCCCTGCATCGTCTCATATTGAGCACATTCTTGAATTGTCTGTGCCCGGTTTCTACTTTTTGAACAGGACGTCCTCTTTTCCACTCGACCCAAATCAGCTGCCATGTTGCGCAAAGCAAACTTCCTTCTGAAGCAGACTTCATACGCTTTGGTAGCAGTCTCAAGCTCATATTGTGTCATATTGTGTCCAAGATACTAAAGTTGCTGCTGGGAGAACCCATTGGCCCTGTCAAAGATTCCTGGGCGTTGGCAATATGTTCGTTCCTCTTGCATTCCTCATGATATCGCCGCCAATTTGTCCAAGCAGGGACATTGACTTTCAACCGCTGAGGAGACATCCAAGAGGACTTAGTAATGGAAGCGCTCAGTGTCGCTGATGTATTCGCACTTGGAAACGGTTTGGACCTTGAGGCTGCATCTCAGGTCAACCAGCTGAATTTTGACCACGGCAACGGTGACTGTAGTCAGAACTCTAACTTCTTCATCCCAAAATTGAAGTCCGTTGGAAACACATCCCCCTCTCTCATTCACGAGGTGTTGAGTTTGAGCACCTGGAATCTGAGTATCAAACCTGACAGTTTCAATTAAAGACAGGACAGCGGCATTCTTGCAGTTTTGACTTCTTGGCAATCGTTGGTTGGATCAGCTGTAGCTGCAGATGCGTCTGTGTGTGTGACTTGCCTCGCTTGCTCTGCAACGGCCCGTCTCACATTGGCCATTGTCAGATCGGTCACATTGCCGCCAAACCACTGAAATTAGTAGCAAGAAGCTACTAGGAGCAAGAAGCTAGCAGTCAGGTGGACTCCACAGTCGCGGCCAAAACGATCAAGTCATCCAGTTCCAAGCACCCCCCGTCAATGGCATCCCCGCCCGTGAGATATGGCAACCGCGAGACGCTCAGCGTCTCAAAGCCGCAGTGGGGTAGGACCTCCTGGAGTAGTGCCTCACTGCGCAAAACATAGAGATTCAGGAATGGGCAGAGAGTTGACAAAACATGTGTGCATAAACATCATAAAACATTCATATTAATGGGGACGTTCACCGACGTACCTGCTTTTGTTTCATGTTGTTTCCTGTTGGATGGCAAGAAGCTACGCCAAGAACCTTTTGACGTTCGAGCAGGTCGACAAGGTCAGTTGCAATTCTATGGAATTCTGCAAGTCTTTGCTTGGGATCTTGAGGTTCGGCCTCTGAGATTTCTTCATCGACTAGAAAGGCCGTTAAGACCCGATTTGCCGTGAATTCACTGATTCACTTCGCACTGCTCATAAGCGCCACCTTCTTGGGAGGTCTGCGATAACCAGAACATGTCCTTTCCCTCACACCACTCACGCAGAGTGTTCCTCTCGGCGCGTGTGTGTGTGTGTGTGTGTGCGTGTCGCACTCCGTCTCTAGGAGTTTCTTTCACCTTTAACACAATCAGCAGGGGGCAGGAGCACCTTTGCAAGTCTCCTGCCAACGAAGACACTTGCAAATGGTGGTGAAACCAGACCTGGCGCGCACGCGGATGAAAACACTTCAATCTCCATCGCTGGGGTTGATTCCATAGTCCTTGCACGATAGACCCCTAAACCTCCTTTTTCCGCTGACGCGCTTGTCACCGCAGCTTGCCGCCGCAGAGCGATGTTTTTCCACAAACGTTCCAACAATTCGGCCTCGCTGACTTTGCCGCCTTACCGTTCCCTCATTCCTTTCCTCGTGGATTATGATACTGGATGAAACTTTGACTAAATGCGTCTCGCTGCGCTTTCCCACTTGGGCGCGTAGTGTGAGCCCCGTCACAGGGGCGCCGAAGCCATCGTGAATCCCATATCGATTCAGCGTACTGCATTCTTGGATTCTGGTCTTGGATTGTTTTGTTCCGCCCATGAATCAACTGATAGCAAAGCTGCCGATCTTACGGAGGATGAACCACAAAAAAACCCTCCCCTCTTTCCTTCTTGCGGTTTTTCGTTTGCTAGGTGTTTCTTCAGGCTTGTTAGGTTGTTCTTGAGGCTCGTTTCCCTGCCCCTCGGTTTTGCACTTTTTTGCTACACCCTTCTCTCTTGCCCTCTTCGTTTTTCTCGTGCTGTCTCTCTTTCCTTTCTAAGGCTTGTTAGGTGGCTATTCAAGTTTTGACTCCGTAATTGGCTGTTCGTTCGGCCGACACGCATGCCCCTACACCTATCTTTCCTTCCTGCCCTTGTCTTTTTGCTTTTTCCTTTTCCTTCTCCTCTTTTTCTACGGCTTGTTAGGTGGCTGTTCAGGTTTTGCGGAGCGAGCGCCGCACTGCGGCATTTTGCGTGCGTCGCACTCCGTCTCTAGGAGTTTCTTTCACCTTTAACACAATCAGCAGGGGGCGGGAGCACCTTTGCAAGTCCCCTGCCAATGAAGACAATTGCAAATGGTGGTGATACCAGACCTGGCGTACATGCCAACGAAAACATTCCAATCTCATCGCTGTGGTTTGATTCCATGGTCCTTGCGTGATAGACCCCTAAACCTCCTTTTTCCGCTGACGCGCTTGTCACCGCAGCTTGCCGCGGCAGAGCGATGTTTTTCCACAAACGTTCCAACAATTCGGTTTCGCTGACTTTACCGCCTTACTGTTCCCTCGTTCCTTTCCTCGTGGATTATGATACTGGATGAAACTTTAACTAAGTGTGTGTGTGTGTGTGCGCCGCATGGCTTTGGACTTTAGCAGGGAGCTCGTGGACACATAGATGGCACGGGCCAACGAAGACCCGTCTACCTCTCGTGGAAGCATACCTGCGCCGATTGCTCCTGGGTCTGTGAGTGACAGCTGGAGGATCTTCAGCTTTTGGTCCCTGCTTTGTAAGTTTTCCGCTTTGCTATGAAGCGCTAATGCGTTTGGCAGGCGCGCACATTTGCTTTCAGATCTTGCAGAATTGAAACTTACCGTACCGCATATTTATACGCTTATACAGTATAGGTTTTTCCCCGAGGCCTCTTCAGGGCAAGCAACGTTCACGTCGACCGCGCGCTATCCCGAGTGTGTGTGTGTGTGTGTGCGTGCGCGCGCGTCACCTCCCATTCCAAGGGAGCGTGACCACATTGATATTTCCACCTCTTGGGAACCTAGCACGGAGTTCAAAACTGGTTTAGCTCTTGCGAGTGTGCGCCGCAGCAGGGTCCCACTGAGGTCTGTTGTGTGACCCCAGCATTGGGCGCTTTTGCACCGGCCCTTAAGGATGCTCCACTGCTCAACCCCTTGCTCGAGATTGCAGATGTTACGCTAAGTATTCGTTGTACAGATTGCCATCCTCACGAAGTAATAACTTAATTTTCAATTTGAAATCTCACGTTCCAGCTTTCCACGCTCTCAACACTCAAGGGCCACACCTGATCTCACCGCTGCGATCCTTGTTCACCCACAAAGCATCGACATCTCTCACCGTCACCTTGTACCACTATCCTCAGCGCCTCCGCACGCTAACACCTTCACGACCTCCTTGCCACTCGCAACACCCACGCAACCTCTTCAACAACCTCCATCAGTACCACAGCCTTCTCCAGCGCAACCTTCCCCAGCACCCACTTCCATCTACCACCACACCGGCTCCGCCTGTACCACCCCAGGTACCACCATCAGCCACCATCAGCCACCCCAGCCTCCGCTCTACCAGCCCACCCGGCACGCTCTCGCACTCGCGCTCCACCCACACAGGACCCTTTCCACTCCAGCTCCAGATTCTTCGGCTCTTCGTCCAAGTTTCAGTGGGACGTTGATCCACCAGAACGCGCAACGCCCATCCCAACCTTACACAAACACCGAACCCGCCACTGTGGCCGCAGCCACTTCAGCAGATCAGATCTACCGCTTTCTCACACCAGCGCGATCAACTTCGCACATCAAAAACGCCAATCAACTTCACACATCAAACACGCCAAAGATACGCTACATCGCACGCTTACTCACACTATACCGCCAACATTGAAATCACGCAATCTCAAAGATGTGGACCCATGGCCACATTTTCACAGTCTACATTCCACGTCTCACACATCGAGGTGGCCCCCGGGTCATCCCCTCTCGCCGACAAGAGACCAACACCCCACATGGAATGAAACACATTTTCTGCGGCCACGCCACGGAGGAAAGCGACCTGATTTAAATTTGTCTACTTCAATCAGGACGCTTGGGCCTAGCGCCCTGCACGACACCAACACCTTTGGCTTTTTTGCGCCAGGGTACAGAACGAGCGGCGATCCCAAGCATGACAGATGGCATACAGCTTGCGTCCTCGCCAAGACCAATGCCCTGGACAAAAACCGTTTGTCTTACGGCGCGGGGCAGAAATTCACGACGTTGTAAAACATCACAATGCCAAGCGCTGGGTGATCCATCGAGAGAATGCAATAATTCGTGGCGTTGCCTGGCAAGGTTCCGCACGCCCATCCCACCCGAGTCATATGAGCAAACTCCTCCATCCGTTCGCCGTTCCATGCTTTTTTTTGCGCCGTTGGTTTGTCTAAGGACCCCTCACACGTCACGCTTGGATCTTTCCCTGCGAAGGGGCCCGCTTGAATGGACTTTTTTCCTTTCCACACCTCAGAAGAAAGATTTTCACAGATTTGACGGGCGATTGCGATTGTTTCAGCATAATGTCTTGACAGCGATCGCGATTAATTCGCGCGACTCGCATAGCTCACAATTGGGCGACGCATACTCGATCAACCCTCATCGCTGCCACAGGTCAATTGCCATGTCAGACAGGGAAACGATGTCTTATTGGACTGACCAATCGCCGCCTTGCCTATTGCAGATTGCGATCTATCTTCGCAACCTTCTCGATGAGATCTACCAGGCCTTGGCAAGTTTTCATCCTACACCTCCTACGCCAAGGCCATCGGTACCAACGTCACCCGCTTCATTCCTCAACCAACGATGATATGGTCGGCTTCTTCAATTCTGCGCCGCAGGATCGACTCATCGAGGCGGGCCAGAGCCTCACCACCAAGTGGAATCTCACCTTAAGTCACACCCGCACTCACCATCGACATTCAAGCCACGGGCAACCCTCTCCAGCTTTCCCGCATTGGCCAGCATCATCGCAAGCATCCTACACAACGCACCATTGACACACAGGACATTCCACACATTGTCCGCACCGCCCTCAACACATGCGTTTTCCAAACTAGGACCTTCTACCAACAAACGCGAGGCGGCGGCATATATAGGTTCCCAGCTTGCACCCACACTGCGCAACGTGGCTATTACTCTCATCGAACACTCACGGGCGCAACTACATCACAGCCTGACAGATCACAGCCAGACCCACTTTGCCTACTACCGATATGTGGACAACCGGTTCATCACCTTCAACAAAATAAAACCTTCCTTCAGCACACCGGCATTCATTCAAACCCTCATTCACCCGAACTTCTTCGGAAATCCCATTGAACTAGAACCGGTTGACGACATGCACCACTTTTGGGCTTCGAAGTCAACCTGGACCAACGCACGATCACATACATACTCGCAGCGTCTGCGCCACATGCACACCTCACCAGGAAATACACCTTTCCACCTGCAGCCATCGAACGAGCGCTTTTTCACCTGGCTCAACTTTACGCCCACAAGGGGTGCCCACCAAAGGAGTGTGATCGACTAGTGACTAGTGCGCCGCAAAATCTGATCAGGGAGCGCCGCTACGGCTGAGTGTGTGTGTGTGTGTGCCACCTCCCGTTCCAAGGGAGCATGACCACATTGATTGTTTCCACCTCTTAGGAACCTTTGGTTCCAACTATGTAAAGATCCGCAGGGGGGCAGTGATCCTTTCAGCAGACACTGCCTAACAAAGACATTCAGAGAGGACGCTCTCTGAATGTACCTGCGCCAATTTTTGCACTTACGGTTGTGATGCTCACAAGCTGTAACCCCAATCTCCTTGTAAAGGGCTAATGCGTCTTTGTTAAACTCTTCTGTTGTCGCGACCCAATCACCTTACCGTTCTGCAAGTCAAGCGCTAAGTGTTCATCGAAAGGGCTAATGCATGTAATGCACTGCAGTTCAAAACTGACTTAGCTCTTGCGAGCATGGATCTAAGTGCGTGGGTTGCGTTTCAACCTGATAGCGGTACAGACCCTTCAACCCATCAGCTGCCACAAGTCGAATCCAAACCCTTGCCTGGGCATCGCTCTCCCAAGTCCCCTCCAAACTCAGCTTCACGGGCTGCATCGGTTCGCCGCTCCACTGTGTTTCCGGACCATAGTAGGATGCCACGAAGGGCAATGGAGTGGCCTTGGCCGGCAACGAGCTTTATATACTGATTCCAAGTCGTTAGCTGCTTGACTGCTTCAGGTGATAAACGAGCCAAGTCAAGTCACCAAAAGCAGGTGCCCTTTGGGCGCCAGTCGGTGCGCTGCCCGCAAAAGGCGCTCTGGCGACGCACAGCGATCAAGGACATTCAGCATGGAGACCAGCGAGAAGGATGATCCAGCAGCCGCACGGTGATGGGCGGTCTCGGCTAAGTCCTTCACAAACTGAAACATCAACCAACTTGGAAAGCACAGAAATACATCTACTTCGAAAGAAGTACTATGAATCATATTTATGCGTGTTAAAAGCAACTCACACCTGAAGACCAAAGAACTCGTACGAACCCTACAAGCCGCTCGTACTCCTCGCACCAAACCTCATAGCCACTCATGCGTAGTCGACAAGCCCGGCCAAGCGAAGTCTCAGTTGTCACCACGCTGGCTCCAAGATCTCGGAGATGCTTGGTGATGCATCCATCGCCTGCACCCACGTCCAAGATTGTCTCCATGGCCAACCTGTCCATTCCTGCATGGCTGAAGAGTTTCTCCAGTTGCTCCTTGGTGATCAGATGTGAGCTCGCAGGATATAGCAAAGCCTGTAGATCAAATTCGTTCAAGGGCAGCTGGCATAGCGCTTGGTACAAAAAAGCCTGTGGGCAGGGCAGGGCTGCATGCTGTGACGTGTAGCTTCCTTGCGTGATTCCATGAATTGACGAATCAACTCAACATAATTAACCACTCCAGCCATCAACGTTAATTACCCACGCTTCCCCCCTTCTTCCTACCTTCTGCCCTCTTTCACGAATCCTTCTACGGAATTCCTGCAACACACCGGGCGCCTGTGGCAACGGTGCGATCGGCGCCTCCAGCACGAAATCGGTGGCCGCTTCGTTGGGCGACAGCGACACGAAGGCATCACGCAGGTGGCTCGGCCACACAGCTGGCGCCGCGCTCCACTCAGGCTCATCAAACAGAGGCACCTGCCGATGTATCCGGGAAAAATGTGTCAATTGGTTTATCAAATTTGGCGCAAAATGTCAATGACAAGGGCAGTTCGAAAAAACTATTCGATAAACAGGAATCGGCTTGCTCACCCCCACATCCTTGCTTCCATTTGCTTCCTGCCTCAGGCTCCCAAACATCTTCCCCGTCCACCGCTCGGCGGAGGTGCTGAGTTCGGGCATTGGAAGTGTAAATGCCACAGGTCGGGCAAAACGTGAGAGGAGCGAAGGCCCACACACTCAAGATCGCCCAGAGTTTGAGCAAAAGCCCAGATCGAAGGGATCCCAATCTTCCACTCCAGCTCATAGCCATGAGCAGCATAGCTGTGAAAGGTCTGTTTCGATGTGGGATGTTGCAAGAGTCATCTGAGACATGCACTGAGTTCATACAAGCAGCATCGTGTGGGGGCCCAATGAACTGTAGCATTTGGGCTAGTTTGGGGCACACTTTACCAAACCTGCATCCAGGCATACCTAGGCAATCTTGCGCAGCTACTTGAAGACCTCTGAAAACAACACGTCAGGCCGAAACGACATATTATGAGATTGCCCATCTCAGACACACCAGCCTGATCGAACTGGTACATCTCTCGATTGTAGTCGAAAAGCTCCTCTACACTCTATGCTGCATTGAAAATCAATAATGGTTTTTCACCTTCGTCCCATACTGGGCAAGTGACTGGCGAGACAAAATGATTTGCCACGTTAAATAGAAAGAATTAATAATTGATATGTTTCATGAATTGTGTAGGGGCCCCCAGCCCTTATCTTTGCGGACTTTTAGTCTGAGCTTCAAAGGCCTAGACAGTGCGGGATACACATCTTGTGGTGTGTGGACATGACTCTATTTTGGCACTCCTCCTTCACGGTAGGAGCAAAGCCTGTCATGTTCCTTCCGTGACCATTCTAGTCAGGGAAACCTGGACAGTCTAGATATGGATAGTGGGAGTCCATATCTTTATACCCGTGAAGCCTCAGCTCTACATCATTGCGAGTGTTTGCATCCCACCACTCCTTTTCAAGGTGTAGCAGGTGCTGTCGCGCTCTCAAACTAGGTCGCTGTTTTGGCTGATCTAAGCTCTTCAGGCTCCAAATCTGTCCATCTCGGATTCGGCCATGTGGCTTGACTTCTTGTCGGATCATCTTGATCACTTGAGCTCGCTGCTCTTCCACTTTGGCTTGGATTCTGCCTTACATCTCGGTCACCTTGTGGATCATGAAGATCTGGTTCTATCTCCATTTCTTCATCTTCAACTTCACTTTCTGGCTCTCTTGGCTGCAAGTACTCCATCGGGATGTTGACCACTTCGCCTGAGTCCAACCGGACTGTGGCTGTGTCTCCCGGTCTCAACTCTTCTTCTTCTTCTTCTTCCTCTTCCATAGGTTGCCCACTTGGAAGATGAATTCTGGCTTGGGACTTGCTCCTCTTTGACTCTTCTTCTTTGTAGGCTTGCAATTGACCATCAAGCCTTCTCAGATCGAAGTCTTTGTGGGACCTCTGGGCGTAGTCCCAATAAAGCCATTCCCATGGTTCAACATCTTCTGTGTCGATGTATCCGGATGCTTTGATCAAGCCCTTAAGCTTGTGAACTCGCTGCACATAGCTTCTCACATCTCGAATGCCCTCTTGCGCTTCATGACCATAGGCTCCAATCATCATGCCATCTGTCTTGGCATTATCTTTGATCTCTACCAGCTCTTCCTCAATCACCCTCAATCTCTCCCACATCTTGTAGATGACAATGCACAGGCCTGCAATGATCACCTAGAGTAGCATCATCGAGACTATTGTCCAGCGGCTGTTCTCTGGTGTATTGTTGTCCGTCTCCACGTAAATTCGCTCTCCAGCTACATGCTTAAGGCCTTCCAGAAGCATAATCCTGTGAAGGAACTTTGACAGCCTCTTGACACTGCTTCTACTGGCATTGCCCTCCGTCAGCCCGTCATGTTCATCTTGGCCAATGCGTCTTCCTTGGCCATTGTAGGTATTGCACCAGTAGAGAATCAAATGGATCCTTGCCTTGGTGAGTGGCTTTGTGCCTAGGTCTGCGATGTAGTACACTGTTCCAATAGGCTTGACATTCAAGGTCTTCTGAGCTACCAAGTCTTGTATCCACAGCAGTTTGCCATCAATGTGCCTCAGCTTGCCCGGTCCTCTTTTATGGCTCACATGCTCCACCATTTCATCGACCAAAAACTCGAGGCATCTTCTGACATAAATACCATCTGCTGCTGCGGAAACTAATGCATTCAACTCAGCCTCTGCCGAAGAAAGACTGACCGACTTTTGACCCCTTGAACTCGTCATCACCACTACACCATTCACCATATGGATCGCAGAAGAAGTTGATCTTCTTGTGCTCTTTGACCCCGACCAGTCGCTGTGGCTAAAGGTCTCAAGCAACCATCTGGTCTCTAAGGTCTTGACAATGAGTCCCCTTCCTGGTTCAGGCATCTCGAGAATGGTGTGTTGGCCCAATGTATCTTTCAGATACCCGATCAATCTTCCCCCAGCTTTCGAAGACTTCCTGTGGTAGGATTCGACATGGATCCTGCCAGCTCCTTTATCGCAAAGACCACGTCAGAGCGCTCCTGTGAAAGGTAAATGCAACAACCAACCACAGATCGAAATAAGCTCGCCACCCTGAGTCTGCAGATCAACTAAATTTAGTTTATGGATGAAATCAATGTAATTGAAAAAATTAGTTGGTTTCCTACTAAATTTTTGAAAAACTAATTTTTCATTGTAAATTTCAACAAAGTCAAAACAACATATAAATAACATAGAAACAGCATAGAAACAACATATGAACAACATAGAAACAGCATAGAAAAAACATATAAACAACATAGAAACAGCATAGAAACAACATATAAACAACATAGAAGCAGCATAGAAGCAGCATAGAAACAACATAGAAACAACCGCAACTCAACACAAAAACACCACAGAAACACACAAAACATTGGCTTGGAAGTTACACATGAAGTTGGTTTTCACAGGTATCAGACAAGAATGGTTTCCGTCACCGTCGCCTCAAATTACTTGAGAAGTGTTGCAGTATATATTTCAAAAAAATTGAGAAGTCAGTTTACTTGAGAGAGGAGCTTGTCACAACCAATTTACTCGTCTGCCTTGAGAGAAGCCAGGGGTGATATACTTGAGAAGTGTTGTTTGATCTACTTGAGGAAAGGTGTGGGAGCACTTGGTGTTGCTGTGTTTAGTTGAGAAAACTCGAATATTGTTATTGGTGTACTTTCACCAAGTTACTTGAGAAGCGTTGCGAAAAATTTACTGGAGATCAGGTACAGCTCTTTTTACTTGAGAGAGGTCTTGTGGGGTTATCGAGGTTGCTATCTTGAGGCGAGAAAATGATACATGTAAATGGTCATCTTGACAAGAACTGTTCACAAGTAAATTGCAGTCTTTGCATTTGAGCTGTTCACAAGTAAATGACAATCTTGCGAAAACACCTGGTCACGAGTAAGTCTAAGTGGCAGTCTTGGCAGTTGAGCTGTTTCACAAGTAGATGACCATCAACGCTCACAGGTAAACTACAATCTGGACAGAAGAACTGTCCAAAAGTAAATTGCAATATTGGCACAAGACCTGGCCACAAGTAGTTCTTTTCACAAAGCAAATGGCTCACAAGTACATGGCAATGTTGACACAAGAGTGTACACAACAGTGACAATAGTGGGCTTATGAAAAGTGCAATCCACAAACCTCACAACAGTGCCTTGAGCAAGTGGCATCCACAAAACAGTAAATGATGTCTCAAGTAAAGTGAGCATAGCTTTCCGAAAACATATACGAATGCCAAAAAACAGTCGTACACTGTCCAGCGCCCAAAGCCATTGTGCAATTTGACTGCAAGGAAATACAGAAGGTGGTTCACAAGTAAAAACAGCTTCACAAGTAAATGTATCCAGAGTCTAATGAACTCACAAGTGCAGCATCAGCATGTCCAGAATATAACATGGAGATAACAAAGTTGAATATGTGTGTATACTTTTGATGTGCGTTTGTTGATTTTCTGCTCATTTTTCTATGTATTTTTTATGCAGTTTGTACGCGGTTTGTATGTAGTTTATATGCAGTTTTGAAAACTACATGTAGTTTTATCAAAACTACATGTAGTTTTATCAAAACTACATGTAGTTTTCAAAACTGCATGTAAACTGCATATAAACTACATATAAACTGCATACAAACTGTATATAGTTGTTGAAGTTCTTTTTGCACATTTTACCTACGAATGCAGTGGCATGTAACAGTACTCTTGAGCAAATTTTTACATAACTGTTCAACATTTACTTGAGAGCAGTTCTCCAATAATAGAATTGTAAGAATTCCTATGACAATCATTTACTTGTCAGATGTTCTTGTTTTGGAGATGTGTAATTTCTTGTGGCTTGTTCTTCAGTAACTTCTGTCATTAACTGGTGCGCAGTTCTTGTGAACAGTACATTGAGTGCCATCTTCAATCTTCCTACAACTTTCTGCGGCTTTTTGTTTTGAGAGTTTCTAATGTATTGTGAGTGATCCACTGCGCTCATGGCTGATGGAATGCCAAATGAATCTATGGTGGCCCAAACACCAGCAAAGTCAGAGAAAGATAGTGAGAAGCCTTCTGTCACTCCTGGTTCAGTCCTGAAGAAATCATCAACAAAGGCAAAAGCTGCTCCCAAGACTGCGCCCAAGGAAAAGGCAAAGAACAAGGTTATCAAGAAGTCAACTGTGTCCAAGCCCAAGCCACCCAAATCAGTGCCAAAACCCTTCAAGCAACCTTCAGGACAAGAACAAACCTGGCAAAGCTGGAAGGTGGGCATTGCGCCTGTGCCTGAGGAGAAGGACAAAGAGGAGGAAGCATAAGAAGAGAATGAGAAGGAGGAGGACCCAGAAGTAGACCCAGAGAAGAGCAAGAGTGCAGAGACCAGAGACCGAGTCAAGCAACAGAAGTTCACGCAGATGTTTGCTGCCAGTGAGATCCCAGAGTGGATTGCAAGGGAGTGGGGGAGTACAAAGAAGTTCAAACATGGCAAAAGAGACAAGCAAACCCTGATTGTCAACAGCCTGTTTGATAGACAGGGGGAGGTTGATCATGAACACAGACAAGGCGGTTTTCAAGAACATGCGACATGTGACATGAGTCAAGTGAACAAATTTGGAGAAATCATTCTTGCAAAAACTTAAACACAGCCAACAACCACAACAACAAAACAACAAAACAACAAAAACAAAACAGCGCAGAAATAACAGAAACCTCGCAAAAACAACATATGACAACACATGCTTCAATTACTTAAAAAGAACTGTTTGTCTTACTAGTTTAAATTACTTGTCTTACTAAAAATTTACTATGGTAAAAAAATACTTTGCTTTTTTACTTAGTTTTTTTACTTTACTAGTTGAAATTAAGTAAATTTTTGGCAAACTAAATTTAGTTGATCTGCAGACTCAGGGCAGCTCCGGCTCAAGCAATGTCGTTCCATCAGGCTCAAGCATTTCTTGAGTACATGGCAGCTTCTGAACCTTTGCTTTGCCATTTGTAGCCTCATAGCTTTCAATCATCGTCTCCGCATACTTTCCAGGCATGATCTTCAGGCC